CGCACCGTCTACCCAGACGGCCGCCCGCTTTGGACGAAATCATGGCAGAGAGACAGCCGGCACACCTCTACCGTACGGCAGTATTGGGAGCCCAGAAGCATGTGCCTCTCCCGCACACCATGTTCTAAATCTCACCGGCGCATAGTCACGGCACTGCTCACCCGCCTACTGGTAGAATCCCCCTCCAAGTCCCAAGTTGTCTCTGGGCTGCCTCCCGTTGAACATCCACTCGGGATGCCCCCCCGGCGACCCCAAGCCTTTCCACGAGCCGCAGTCCCAAAGTCGAAATTCAAACTTCCATTGCATTATGGCCCAGAATCTCGAGAAGAAGAAAAAAAACCAATACAATTGTGGCGCTGTGCCTTGGAGGTGACGTATGCGGGGCATTCTCTCTCTTGTGAGCCAATTGTATTCTCTCCCATTCTTCTCTCATTTTTGCCCATATTATATTCCGTAGTCCATCCCGAGCATCTCCCGTTTAGTCAATCTGCTTGGATTTGCTGGCGTGTAATTGGCTGCACTTGATTAGCTCTCCATCTCTCTGTCTCCAGCCGCATACCAATGAAGTACCCCAGGCCTCACCAGCAACATCAACGTCGCATGTACTCTGCGCCTTAGTCCGACGATCCAAAGCTGAGGATGCCGGGTCTGATAGCACGAGCCTTTTTCTTGAGCCGGTTATCCCGTACGAATCGTAAAGGCTACCCTGGCTCAAGATAGTTTCCTTCGTCTTGCGTTGTCTAGTGGTCTCCAAGCCATTGAGAAGTGGCAGGAAGACGTATCGTATCTGAACGCGTCGGTAGGTGTCTAGGCTAGAAGAAGAAAAGGACAGACAGACAGGAAAGACCTCATACAGTTGCTTCTATTCAGGAGGTGGGTATAATGTTACAACATGGGTGCTGTACAGATATGGTTACAGATCTGACCGGAAGGGTTTCCCCCTTTCTACGATCTCTATGGTACAAACCGGTCGCGTACGACTCACTCGGAACCAATGTCCATCTCGTGAATCTTCCAGGTGCCGTCCACCCACGGGCGCTTCTCGCCCAAGAAGGCGACTCTCTCCTCCTCCTTGGCGAGGGCCTCGACAATATACTTTTGCGCCACCTCGCGCACCTGGTCCTTGGAGACGTCAAGCAGCTGCTCGCGGCGCGTCTGCTTCATCTCCTCTGTGATGCCGGACGTGAACCGGCCCATGCCCTCCGAGTTGACCGACTGGGGCGCGTCGACGCCCTGGAACACGGAAATCTTGGCCTCCTCGAGGTCGCGGTCCGCCCACGCCTTGTCCGCGGCCCAGCGGCCGGCGTTGCGCATGATGGAGAGTGTGTTCTGCGGGTTGGGGTCGCGGTACGAGTAGAACCCAAAGAGGCCGTCCAGTCCCCTCGAGTACGCCCCGCCGCCGTAGGCGCCGCCCTTTTCGCGGATCTCGTGGTGGAGGTGCTTGTGCGTGAGGAGCTGCGCCAGGATCTGCAGCGGCGCGCCATCGGCATGCGTGTACGAGACGGTGGGCACCGCCAGCGAACCGTAATAGACCTGGTACGGTAACGGGAAGAAGGACTTGATGTTCTTCTGCAGCGTCGCTGGCTTCTGGGTCGACGGCAGGGGCAGGTCCTTGGGGAGGGTCGACATGAAGCTAGTCAGGGCGTTGAGGTTGGCGCCCGTGCTCTCTGCCCCGCAGGTGAGCGCGGTGCGGAAGTTACCACCGGCGAGCGCGATTTTCTGGATCTGCTTGAGCTTGTCAATGACGTCCGCCAGACCATCTGTTTCGGGACGATTGGCAAGCGACGTGACGAGCTTGACCTGCGAGAGGCCGCCAATCTGCTGTCTGAACCAGGCGTTCCGCGTGAGTCCGGCTTCCGCGAACCCGCGGGCGTACTGGTGGCCGGATGAGGCAATATCGTTGACCACGCCGTCGGCAGATGCCTGGAGCAGCTGTCTGATGCGCAGGGCGGCCTCCGGGCTGTCGAAATCCGTGTCTTGCACGAGCTTGCGCAATATGTCAAACATAACGGGGACGTTTCTGTCCAGCGCCATGCCCGTAAACATCAGCCCCTCGCTCGCCTGGTGGAAGTCGGTGGGCGAGGGCGTCGAGTGGTACCCGACAGACACGCCTCCCGTCTTGAGCTTGATCAGGTCCTCGAGCTGCTCCATGGACATGTCCTTGGTGCCGAGCCGCATGATGCTGTCGGAGAAGAGGGGGATTAACTCTCTGAGCTCGTCTGGCAGGTTCTCCAGGCTGTTGATGGCTCTGAAGTAGGTGAGGCCGTTAGTCGGGGCCTCGCGCCACTGGATCTTGACGCCGTTGGCCGTCTCGTCGCGCACAACCACGGGCTCCTTGCTTCGGGGGATGTCCTTGACGTGGACCGTCGGCAGACAGCTCAGGTCTTCCGTGTTGGACTTGCCCTGCTCGACGAGGAGGTCCAGCTCGCGCTGCTCAAACTTCTTGCGGGCCGCCTCGTCGCCGCCAGCTTCCTGGGAAGCCTGCTTGATCTTGGACGCCAGCCTCTCCTTCTCCTCGCGCGCGAGGTCTTCGCTAAACGTGGTTGACGGCGACATGGTGAAGGACAGGGTGTTGTCGTTCAACAGGTACTTGTCAATCAGGCTTTCCAGGTACCCGCCCTTGGCGAGCGCAGTCTCAAAGGCCGAAATGGTGTCGTTCCACGCCAACGAGTCAAAGGGGTCGACGCCCGTGAACCACTTGGGCTTGAGTCTGTGGAGCATCGACATGCCAAAGTTGGCCGTCTTGTGCTTCAACGCCAGCTCCAGCTGGTGGAGGGATCCGTCAATCTTTGTTCTGTCGAACCCCTTTTGCCGGACTTCCTGGAGGATGCGCTGAACTTCGGCCTTGAGCTTGGGCACGTCGGCCTCCTGGACGCCGGTCAAGCCGATGGAGAAGATGCCCAGTTTGGCGGAGCTGTCGTAGCCGGCGTTGGGGCTAAAGTCTGTGCCGAGACCGGCCTCGATCAGCCCGCGGTACAGGGGAGATCCGTAGCCGTCCATCAACAGAGTAGAGAGCAGCGCCAGGGAAAAGGACTCGACAACGTCGGACGAGTCTCCCATGATCCACGAGACGGACGTCTTGTACTGCCTGTCGGGGTCTACCAGGGGGTCGAGAGGGCCCTTCACGGTGACCTCCCTAGGCCCGGAGGCCAGATTGATCGGCTGGTGAATCGTCTTGTCCTCCTGTATCCTCTCGAACGCGCTGAGCTGGGCGTTGACCTCTTGCAGGTGGTCCGACAGGGGCATGTCTCCGTACGTGAACAGCTTCGCGTTGCTCGGGTGGTAGTGCTCCGCGTGGAACTTGCGCAGCTGCTCGTACGTTAGGTCGGTGATCTTTTGCGGGTCGCCGCCAGAGTTGTTGATATCGGGGAAGATGTGGTCCTGGAACCGAATGTAGAACAGGTAGCCGGCGTCCGACATCTGGCCCTTCATCTCGTTGTAGACGACGCCCTTGAAAACGAGGTCGCTCTCCTCGCCGTTGGCCGCCTGCGGGTTCTCCGGTCCGATGCGCCATCCCTCCTGGGTGTAGTCGGACTCCTTGAGCAGCGGATGCAGTGTCGCGTCCATGTATACCGACATGAGGTTCTTGAAGTCCTGGGAGTTGGTTGTCGCAAACGGGTAAAATGTGTGGTCCGATGCCGTGAAGGCGTTCATGAAATTGGACAGCGTCCTCGGCAGCATCTTGAAGAAGGGATCGCGAATGGGATATCTAGATGGTCAGCAGGGTAAGGCATGTAGGGCACAGTGAACACACCTCTGACTGCCGCACAGCGTGGTGTGCTCCAGGATATGGGGCACACCCGTGTCGTCGGGAGGGTTCGTCTTGAAGCCGATGGAGAAGACATTGTTGCTGTCGTCGCGGGCAATGTGTAGGTAGTCTGCGCCAGTCTTGTCGTGTTGCAGGTGAAGAGCCGTCAGCTCCAGCTCCGGCACGTGCTTTGTCCTCAGGAGTGTGAAGCCATGGAGCTTGTCGCCGGGCTTGGGGTACTGGGAGAGCTCGGTCACGGCTTTCTTGGCCGTGTTGACGGCGTTGCGCAGCATGTTGACGAGTGGGAGTTGTTTGCAGAGGATCAGAGCCTCATTCCGGAGGGAGAAGAAGATGGGAGCTTCGTTCTAAGAATGACTGAACGGCCTACGGTCGAGGAGCCACTGTGGAGCGGGAGGCGATTCGCAGCTTTCGGCCGGCTTCTGGCTGGAAATTTTTAGGCGTTGTCGGCGCTGGCCTGCCGCTATTCGTCATCACACAGGGCATGTGGGGTCCGCATTCACCAAAACGCTCTCTGAGGCACTACCGGGTCAGTGGGCCTGGGCCTGCGTAACGCATTAACGAGCAGCTAACACGGTGCAACCGACAACAGCGACGCCGCCCGGTAGATTGGCACGTCGTCCGCTAGGCAAGTACCTCCATCGCCCTTTCTCCAGGTGCACTTTATTCTCCTCCCTTCCACGCCCGCCAACGGAAATTGGGAAATCGCGAATTCCAAAAGGCGACCAGTGGGATCGTGGGCAATTCGTTTTCTTACTGCGGACTCTACCCGACATATCGGCATCCGGATTGATTATCCGTACTTGGACCTTTGCCGGCCCTGACCCAAGGTACTCGACGGGTAGGTACGAACGAGGCCTGCAGCAAGTCTCTCCTCCACCCGTTTTTCTCGAGTACAGTGGCATTTCTAATGCGCACGCCTGAACCACGCAGACACCACGCTACCTACCACACCCTAAGGCACCTCACCCTAGCCCGTCGTTCCGTCCAACGTCGAAAATCTGCAAAGGAGGTCAATGAAGGGGAAACCGACGACGAGAGCACACGAACCGACTGCTGGCTCCGAACATTGCGGTTGAGACTGCCGCGGGGAAACCAGGGACCCGACTTGACGCCCACGACGACTCGTTTTTGCGACGCCGACCCGCTCGATCGATCGAACTCGGATGCGAATTCGTCGCCGACAACACGGAAGGAACACATACAACCGCTACCCCTCCTGCCCGCCGAGTAAATGCCCCTCAGCCAGGCCGACGCCGACATGTCCAACGGTCAAGATGGTCACGCCCACCCGCCGGCGTCCCTGAAGAAGGGAAAGCAGAAGAAGGCGGTCGACTCGAACGAGTCTGCAAAGCTGCTCGCGCAACGCATCTCGCAGCTAGAGCAAGAATCAGCTGGAGAGAAGGATCAGGAAGCTGAGATTGGTGCGTACCGCCTCCCATCGTGCCTTACCCCTCCTGGAGGCCGGAGGGGCCGAGTCGCGCGTTTGCCCAAGTCTGCGTAGGTCATGGCCACGATGATCACGGTCACGGTCACGGTCATGGTCATGATCAGGCGCAGGTGGGAGCCTCTCGTGCCGGCGGTTCGTGGGGTTCTATTTCTGCAGTGGCGGGGCTAACGGCAACAGAGCGCGAGGTCAAGCGTGCGAACCGCGATTTGGCCCAACAGGTGGCAAAGATGAGCGATCTGCAAAAGATTGAGCACCTCACCCGTCGGTCCAGCGAACTGCTAGCCGACATGCGCCGTGTGGAGCGCGAGAACCAGAAGAACAAGAAACGTGGAGACGCCCTGCAAAAGGAGAAGGATGCGAATCGCACCGAGCTCAGCAAGACGGTCGGCCTGAAGGAGAAGCTCGAGAAGCTCTGTCGCGAACTGCAGCGGGACAACAACAAGTACAAGGTTTGCGGCCCCCCTTGGCCAGCGGACGGGGCACGGCTGACCTTGTGTACCTAGAACGAGAACAAGACCCTCCAGGACAACCTGAAGCACAACAGCTCTGCGTACGATGAGAAGCACGCGGCCCTGCTTGCCAAGCTGGAGGGGATTCAAGAAGAAAAGGACCATCCGCGGAAGCAGGTTGTGGACATGAGCGTTGACACCTTGTATGTCACTTGCCGTCGTTGTTGCGCTGGACTAACCCCTTGCAGATTCAAGAATCGGTTCAAGTCCTTCATTGAGCAGTACGAGTTGCGTGAGCTGCACTTCCACTCCACGATGCGCACCAAGGAGCTGGAGGTGCAATACAACATGGCGCGCTACGAACGAGAGAAGAAGCTCGCAGAGGCCGAGTCGACGAGAGCGCGGAATCTCCAGGCGCAGGTTCAGACCTTTACCAAGACGGAGACGGAGCTTCGGAATCAACTCAACGTCTACGTGGACAAGTTCAAGCAGGTATGATGACTGATGAAAAGTTGCAGAGGTTTGGGCTGAGCTTTTGCTGACAGATCAAGGTTGAGGACACGCTCAACAACAGCAACGACCTCTTTCTCACGTTTCGGAAGGAAATGGAGGACATGTCCAAGAAGACGAAGCGGCTGGAGAAGGAGAACGAGACGATGAAGCGCAAACACGAGGCGACGAATGCCAACATCATCCGCATGGCCGAGGAGCGCGAGGACTGGCGCAAGAAGGCGGCCGAGGCGATCAAGAGAGCCGAGAAGCTTAGAAGCATTATCGAGCAGATGCAGCAGCAGGGCCGCAAGGTTCCGCCCGGAGCAGCGGCGACACTGGAGAGTTGCTACTCGGACAGCAACGGCCACATGGACGGGGACGGCAGCGACTACTCGGACGACGAGGAGGAGGAGGGCGAGGAGGATCCGAGCGAGTTTGACGATGATACGGAGGAGGAGCCCCAGCCTGGAGAGCCAGAACCCCCCAGACCCTACGGTCCAGAGAGACCACCAGTACCCCAAGCTGCAACGAACGGCCACTAGGAATCCGGACAGAGCGTTTCGGGGGCTACACCGGTGGGGCCTGCGTTCGATGCCCAGTCCACCAGCGAGACGGCCGCCATCTTGCCCATGTGGCATCACAAGAAGAAGCACGTGTCTCTCAAGCAGAAGACTGGCCGTGTTCTTTCACGAGTCGGGCAGTTCTGCCAGGCAAAGATGAATGCGCTGTTGTCGGTCTTCTCTTAGGACCTTTGTGCGCTGCATTCTTGGCCTGGCACTCATTGACCTCTTTCAATGGGTTTGGCTGGCACGAGGGGCATGGCCGTCATGATTTCTACGAGCAAACAAGCACAGGGGTTGAGATGATGATGGTCCTTGGCAAGCTCTGTCTAGATTAGCAGCGTTCGGCGTCTGTAGTGGTTCGGAATACAATCAATCTCCACGTGCTTTTGTTTGGCAGAGTTTACAGAGTCTCGGGGACTGTACCCCAAAGTCAAATGTTGCGAGGCCCAAAGTTTATAAATGACGATGCATTCCCGATACCTTGAAGGGGTGACGTCGATCTCCAGGGGTCTCACCAGAGGCTAAGCCACAGTTGGTCAGCAACCTGGCGGGAGGTCTGCAATTTCCCCGGATCCACAAAGTCAATCCCACCCAAAGGTGCCTTGGGGGTGCCTTATCCGTCCGGAAAGTCTGCGATAAGGGGCTACCAGCCACAGATAGTGCCACCGCACCTGCCATGGCCCATGGACCTTGACAATCCGAAAGTCCACTGCACTGGGCTTGCATCAGCACCCGCACCCGCAGCTGCAGCGAACCCCAAGGGCCCCCGAGGGAGTGCCACCCTGACTGCCTACGCCTACGCCTGCGCCTGCGCCCGCGCCCGCGCCCGCGCCCGCGCCCGCCTGCTGCAACCAGCGGAATGTTGAGCCCAACTTTTGACAGCTGAGGTGAGGCTGCCTTTTGTTTCCGGCGCACTTGAAACCAACCGTTACTCGCCCAATCCACGTCCCATGGCTCCCTTCGCCTCTGGACTTTTCTTCAACTGAATATCCATCACCAGCAATTCGATAACGAGGGCCTCGACATTTGCCCTTTGCTTGCACCCCGGGTCGAGGCCGCGCCGATCGTTTAAAAATCCGCTTCCTTCCCTTTGGTTCCCTTCTTGATGCCCGCGACGTCATCCCTCGACACCCTGCAGCAGCCATCACCACCATGGCCTTCTTGGAGGACCCGCGGCTGCGCCAGCGATGGAACCAAATCTCCCACAACGCCGGCGAGGTGACGGAGAACGCCGCCGCCGGCATCTGGAGCTTCCAGCATCACTACATCAACCCGTGTCTCGCCTCCCTCGCCGCCTCCCTGGAGCAATGCGCCAACCCGTGTCTCGGCGACCGCGAGGAGCGGGCGAGGAGGCGACGGGAACGAGATCGCGCGGGCGGGAGGGCCGAATACAGCTTCGACTTTTACGACGACTGGTACGCCGAGGACCAGGACGGAGGGTTCCTGGGCGGCTGGGGCAACGACGACTGGGACCGCCTGCTCGCGGGCACGGGGTCGCAGCAGAAGAACAACACGGGGGGCGGCGAGGTGCAGCAGGATCAACCGAAACGAAAACGCGGCATGAGCTACGGCACGCGGGGTAGAGGGAGCAAGGCGCTCGAGTCCGATCCGACGGTGATCCCCAGCACGCAGCCCATTGGGTTCCTGGGCAAGCTGCCGTGGAAGCTGGGCAAGACGCTCCGCTACAAGCCGAGCGCGGCGGATTTGCAGGATCACCCGCGGCAGCACGGCGAGATGGGCATGGGCGAGACGGAGCCGCTGCTTGCGCACGATTCTGATGACGACGATGATAACGACGGCCACGACGTCTTCCAGAGCCGGACCGCCAAGACTAGAAATCGCAGCGGGACGACGGGGTCCGGGGTGTCGTCGGATTCGTACCGGTCACGGGGCGACTTGTTCCCCAGCGACGGCGAGGGTGAGGAGGACGCCGTGCCGTTTGACGACGAGTTCATGGTCCTGGACAAGGTCCGAGACGACCGCAGCAGCAGTAGGACAAAGGCGAGCAAAGGCAAGCGGCGGGCCGACGGACGGCCCATATCGCGGACGGTGTCGAGGGCGACGATCGATTCCAGCCATTCCATGCTCAGTCCCAGCGTGCGGCGGAGCTCGACGAGCGGACCCACGACGCCGGATACGCCCGTCGCGCCGTCCATGGAGGCCTCGATGGAGGAGCTGCAGAGGGAAGAGGAGCGCATCAGGAGAGAGGAGGACGACGAGGTCGAACGCAAGCGGCAGGCGGCGCTGCAGCTTGCGTTGGAACGGGGGCTGCACGAAGCTGGGGAGGAGCCGACGTCCGAGGAGCGGGCAGCGTCCGAAGTGGATTACGCCAAAAGTGACGAGGTGGACTACGTGTCAGACTCTCCGAGTCAAGGATCGCCGCCGAGGTCTACGCACGGCGACGACGCGCCCGTCATCCGGTCCACCACGCAAGAGCAGTACATACGGACCAAGGAGTTCGTCCCGGCGCGTCTACCGAGCTTTCGATAGACCAGAGTGCCCAGGAGACGTGTACCACGTGGGTCTTATTGTATACTAGTTGGGCGACGCCAACGATAATCATGTCATAACGATACCAATGCAGGGAGATGAGGGCAGCATTCCAATAGAAGCGGTGCACGGCGCGGCGCACTCGATTTGTTTTTTTTCCCCCTTCGTGCCGTGATGTCGTGACTGCTGGGCCTGTTGTCCATGACGGAAGGACGGTCGGACGGAGGACGGAGCAGAGAATGGCCGACTCACATGCCGCTGTGGTTGCCCGTTTCAGGCCGCTCGGGGGCCGGAGGTAGGGGTCGGGGTCACGGGTGGGCGAGCTGCTGTCCCAACAAGGCAATTGCCTCGGTGTGAATTCCCCGCAAAGAGCTCCCCCCCAATCGCCCCCAACCCCACACTCTTCACCCCGGATTTACCTAGGTGCTTCGGCACGACTGCTCGACTACTAGCTCCAGGCGTGTCATTGAGCTCCCTTTTATTCCCAACCTCTTGGCTGTTTGTTGCGCTTTCTTCATTTGTACATCACTTTACGCTTCTTCTATGCGCCATTTGCCAACTTGAGAACCAGAGAGCGAATACCCGCACAACTCCTCGCCAAGACCAGTGTAAGACAGACCACAGTCAAGATGGCACCCTCCGGCCCCATCACGACACCCATAACCCAGCTCCTGGGCATCCAGCACCCGATCCTCCTCGCCGGCATGGCCCGCACCTCGGGCGGCCCCCTAGCAGCAGCCGTCTCCAACGCCGGCGGCCTAGGCGTCATCGGCGGCTTCCAGTACACCCCCGACCAACTCCGCGAGATCATTGCCGAGATGAAGGCGAACTTCAAGTCCCCCGACTTGCCGTTCGGCGTGGACCTCGCGCTGCCGCAGGTCGGCGGGAACGCGCGCAAGACGAACCACGATTACACGGGCGGCAAGCTCGACGAGCTCATCGACATCACGATCGCCTCTGGCGCGCGGTTGTTTGTGAGCGCGGTGGGGGTTCCCCCCAAAGAAGTGATTGAGAGGTTGCACGCGGCGGGGATTTATGTCATGAATATGGTCGGGCATCCGAAGCACGCTGTGAAGGCGCTGGATTTGGGGGTGGATATTATCTGCGCGCAGGGGGGCGAAGGGGGCGGACACACGGGAGACGTGGCGAACTCGGTGCTCATCCCCGCGGTGGTGGACGTCGCGAGGCGGTATAAGCCGCCCATGCTCAAGGGGTCCACGGCGTTGGTGATCGCCGCGGGCGGGATGTACAACGGCCGCAGCCTGGCGAGTTCGCTGATGCAGGGGGCCGTCGGCGTGTGGGTCGGCACGCGGTTCGTGGCGAGCGTGGAGGCGGGTTGTAGCCGGGAGCACAAGGAGGAGGTGGTGTCGTGCGGGTTCGAGGGGACGGAGAGGACGCTGGTGATTAGCGGGCGGCCGTTGAGGATGAAGACGAATGAGTATATCCGCGGGTGGCACGCGCGGCCGGAGGAGATTAAGAGGTTGACGGAGGGCGGGACGGTGCCGATTGAGCATGATTTCGAGCAGGGGCGGGAGGACATTGAGATTCCGCATCTGATGGGGCAGGTTGCGGGCGCGATTGATAGGATTCAGCCGGCGGGGGAGATTGTGGAGGAGATGGTGAAGGAGGCGGCTGAGCAGTTGAGGCTCGGGGAGGTTTATCTTGGACGGAGTAAGCTCTGAGGGTTTGTAGGATGGTGTACGAGTTTAGAATCAAGAAGATTGACTACATGGAAATGGGTATTGTGATGTCGTGTCGATGGATCATTACGCTTCGTCCTCCGTCTCCGTTATTGTCTCTGCCTCTGGAGCTCAGATGAACTCCCCCACGCGGATCCGCGTCTTCCCCCACCCCTCGGCCAACTCTCTCACTTCTTCCCCTATTCTATCCGCCTCCTCCTTCGAGTACCCAAGCCGCAGCTGAACCTCCTCGGGCGTACACAGCTCCCGGATCTCAGGAAGCGGCGCAGGAATCCTGCTGCCTGTCTTCGTCCCGCTCAGCACCAGCGTCAAGGTCTCCAACCCAGCCCGGTACCGACACTTCAACCACGAACCCGGGTTCCGAAACGGCTCCTCGCACACGACAATGACGTGCCTCGCCCCGCGAACAGGGAATCCGCCGCCACCCTTGCCCTCCACGACGGCAATGCTGTCCCGCAAGAAATCGATGTAGATCCGCCTGTCGCCCCAGGTGTTTAGCCGGACGAGTGTATACCGCCGCAAGGCCTCGTACCGCGCCTCACGGTTCACTGCAAGTAAAGTCGGGTTCGGCGCATGTGTTGCGAGGAGCGTCCGCGGGTGGTCGCAGGCGTGCTGCCAGATTTTGAGGCGGAGCTCGGCTGGCAATCGGGAGAAGGGGTGGAAGGTGTGTTCGGGCCCGTGGACCTGAAGACGCAGGCCCTCGAGGTGGTTGGAGAGGCTCGCTGTTGTGCGGTGGGCTTCCGTGGTGAGGACGGAAGTTATTGTCTGGGTGAAGTGGGCGAGGAAGACGAAGGGAAGGAAGGGGAGAGGCATTTCGCAGGTGGGACGGCTTGTTGCCTCCCGTTTGAGCTTTTGGGTGAGGGACATTGTGAATTGAGGTGCGGGTTTGCCGTGAGGTTGCTATTTGTATGTTTGAATAGGGGCTCCGATGTTTCCGACCTCCTATTTTCGTACGTGGTCCTCGCGGCGGGTCGTCAGCGCGAAAAGGGGCGGGCCTTCTCCTTAAGACTATTCAGTCCGGCAGGTCAAACTTCAATGGCTAGCGGGAATGTCGACAAGCGGGTAGAGAGATCGCCGACTTTGTCTAGAAAGCGACCCGGTGGCTTTGTTGATGAACCCGGGGCTGCGGTGCTGCCGGCGCAGAATCAAGCCACCAAAAGAATAGCCAAACGGCAATACGCTGCTTTGGTGGATTCCGGTCTAGATTTGCGCACCTGATTGTCGTCTTTCCGCGGAAACTGTGGGAGCAAGTGGCTGGTGGGCTCGTTCTTTGAATCAAGTATGTCCAGACGAAGTTAGTGCCGGAGGCTGGTGAGCGGCCTTCCTTTGTTCTGGTGGAGAGGGCCACTGAATGGGCGGCAGAGATTTTGTAATCTTTGGGCGAGGGATGAGGCGCGCGCTGGCGAGCGATGCCGAGGTGATGAGTCCTATTTGTATTCTAAGTTGACTTGATGGTGTTGCAGTGTCTCGGATAGGATAGATGGATCGATCTGATCTGGGCACTTGCATGGCGAGGCGCGGAAGGCGTGGTTACACGTCAACTCACGCCATCACTGTGGCGTTCTCGATGTCTGCTTCGATGTAAAGGAGTCTCGTACTTTGCCTGCGTCCGGCATGAAAGGTCCGTCGCAGAACAGCCGCCATCCTGAAGAACTCCTTCGTGGCAACCCTGTATTCGATGACCGCCATAGGCTTCTGGGTGAGGTGGAGGGGTTCGCTTGCCTGGATGGCAAAGGTCACGCCAAAGAAACGTCAGACTGTCTCAGACACTTCTGTCTCGCCGTTGCAGCTGACTGGATTTCGGTGGTTGGCAGACTGGGAACGTCGACCCCAGGGAGCGGTTCAAACGGCCTGTATCTGAGTCACCCGAGACAGGGCCAGCATCATCGGCATTCCAGTTCGACGACACATGGCGATTCCAAAGCTTGGCTGTTCAAGACATATGTGCCGGGGTCGTAACTTCGATTGCGATGCTACGAAGCATGTGAAGGCGTGGATGTCCAAGACGAGTTTGGGCCTTGGGATTTGGTTCTGGTGCGGCAAGGGGCAGATGTGCTCGGAGGCGATTAAATGCTCTTGCAGAGTCTCAGATGCCTTGGTGTGGACAGGTGTGCTCCCCCTCTCCCGCCAGATCGTAGGATGCCCTGATGATCCGCCGTCCGAGGTTGTTTGGACGCACCGCACATCTTCAACTTGTCCAATAGTCGGAATTCCCGTAGTCTAATTAGAAATTGCTTTCCAAGTGATGACGACCAAAGCCAAAGCCTGCGGTTCAAGTTTCCGGACTCTGGGGATGCCCACAAAGATTAGCGAGAACCAGACGCAGAATGGGGGCAGCATAATTTCACGCACCTAGGCTTCCAAGAAGCTGTGCCATCTTTCATCGTTCCAGCGAGCAGCTTTTCCATCCATAGTTGGTTTCCTCGTAGCTCTGGACTCTGGACACGAGATGTACGAGGGGTCCAACTGCACAAGGTTCGGCTGAGGATCCTGTATAAATCTCATGAGAACTGCATTGACTGCTCGAATCCCTTTCCCCATAGTCTCTGTTGTTGTGTTTGAAGACGTCTTGTTCTCTGTTGACGAGGGGTCGGTCTGCTGCCATTTCTTGAAGATCTATGTTGTGTTTGTTGATCCAAGGACCGAAGTCTCCGTGATATCGTCGCTCGGCTCTGCTTGGCCATGTTCAAGGTTTATTCGTAAGGTGAATAGTTCAAGGACGCCTGATGGTCCAAAGTCGGTGTGTCTTGTGATGGCGGAAATACTCCCACTTCTTGGCCGAGAAATGGGCCCTAGACAGCCATACACATTGACGACGATGGCTAGTCAATACACGCGCTGTCTCTCGCCAAACGACGTCGCTAACGCGACTTGTAGAGGGGACTTTTGCGTTTGTTCCTGGCAACTGAAGTAGACGCCTTTATAGGAGACGGAACAGATTCGCACCCGTCATTGAATAGGGGCCAAGAGTGACTCGTTCCTTCCCTCTGCCTACGTCTCTCCTTCCTTTTCAGCACGCAGCCAAACCCTCTCGCTTATAAAATCCACCAGCGGCATCGGAATCTCTTCCATCTTTCCTCTCCGCCACAGAGAATATTCAGCGAACCATCTTCATTACAAGACCTGCCACCTTCGTCTCAGTAAAATCTAATCGTTCAAATTCACCCCCCGTTCCAAATCAGACTGCTCGAATCATCACCATGTCTGTCACCAGCGGCACGTCCAGCAGGCCTCTGATCCGCAAGCCGGCCCCCCATGAGGCCGTCTTCTGTAGCGTCTGCAGCCGGAGATTCCCCAGCTTCGAGGAGCTGATGGGACACAAGCGCATGTCGATGCTGACCGAAGGAACCCACATCCACTGCGCCGTGTGCACCCGCGACTTCAACAGCCAGGACGCCTTGAACAAGCATCTTCTGGAGGTGAGTGCAACCGGATCTCCAGCACTGAACATGGACTAATGAGAACAGGCACACCCTCAGGAGCAGAGCCTCACCTGCCCCGGCTGTCAGAAGAAGTTTGTCCGGTTGGCTGGGTGGATGAGACACCTCGAGCATGACGACTGCCCGGGAATTCGTCGCGCAGACGTCGACCAGAACCGCGCAAAGAAGCTCACCTTTTCCCACGAGCTCGAGAAGCGCAGCGGCTCCCAGTTCGGAGACTACTTCCCCGTGTCCCACCCCAGCGTCCAGTCCGCCTTCGAGGCGCAGTCCAACCTCGATGCCGTATCCACTGTGGACGCGCAGTCCGAGTTCGACGACAAGGCCTACATGGCCCATCCGTCCTTCTTCAAGCCCCAGGACTTTCCCAATCTGAAGGATGTCGCTGAGAGCCTGGAGAGCATCCAGCAGTCGGACGATGGCAAGAAGACAGTCGTGGACGACGTGAATAATCCGTCTCACCGGCTCTTCGATCCTAGAAAGTACTACAACACCCTCACGCGCAAGTACAAGTGTCCGCAGCCGTCCTGCAAGTTCGTGGCCCCTTCCCTAACCGCATGGCAAGATACTGACACCAGAACAGGAAGACATTCCCCAACAGCGGCGCTCTCATCACCCACATGAAGTCAGCGGCCTCGCACTACAATGCCAAGCTGCAGTGCCCCGGCTGTCTGCGCTACTTCAGGGATGCGTCGTCCTTGACCGCCCACTCCGAGTCGGAGTCGACCCGATGCAGCATCCGCAAGTCCGAAAACTACCGCTCCTACCTTGACCAGCTCACCGGAGGCATGGCGGACCTCGGCGCCAAGCACAAGGACGGTACTGTTAAGTATGAGGTCAGCACGGAGGCCGTCGTCAAGTTCGCTCCGTCTCGGATGGCCAGAACGGCCACGGAGGATTACATGGCACAGCAGGAGGCCGATCGTCAGGAGGACTGGGCTCGCAACAATATTGTCTGGTAGGGGTTTATTGGGGAGATGCCATCAGCGAGTGGTAGCGAAGCACGTTTAGGTATCCAAGTACGGATAGAAGAACGAAAATCAAGAGTCTAGCGGGCAAGAAGCTCGTCCACGAGGTGTCGTCGCAAAACCGTGCCAATTTTCCCCACACTGTATGCCCCGCCAACACTTTACGCGCCATCCCACCAAGACGCGCTCGTCGCGTCCCACCTGAATGTTCCGTCGTCAAACTTCCCGGCGCTCAACTTCACGGCACGTACAACAGCACCAGAAACAATGGCGGAAGCGGAATTGAAGGAGTTCTTCACCTCGGGAGACAAGGCTCTTGAGCCTGAAGTTCTCACCGAACTGCAGTCCCTATTGCGCCTGCACGACCTGTCCGCCGAGGACCTCTTTTACAAATGGGAGTCCTTCTGCATCAAGATGGACATGGACGCCATGAACCCCGACATTGTGCACGTGCGAAACTTCAAAAAGGATATCCAGGACGCACTGGAGAAGAGCAACCGACAGCAGACGCACATTAAGACGGAGAAGCGCAGTCACGGCACCCCGCGAGCCGGAAGAGGCGGCGGCGACGTCTTTGGCATGCTGGATGGACTGGTGCCCAGTACGCCGGCTTCAGGGAGGCTGAACAAGCCGAGCAGTCTGCGGAAGAAGACGCATGAGACGCCGACAATGTCGCGGGTCAAGGCCGAGATCCCCTCGAGCTCGCCAGACTACAAGGGCGCCTCCAAGATGGAGGAGCAGCTCAACGCAATGTCACTGTAGGAACGCAGGCCCTACACTTCACACAGACACTGACGATGGCAGACCCAGCTCGTTCAACGACCGACAGAACGCCGGCGAGACGGTGGAAGTGCTTAACGACCACCTCGACGCTCCCGAGCCGCCAATTTGCCCGTACCCCGAACCCCGCATCAAGTTGACGGCGGCGTCAGACCAGAAGAAGCTGGCGTACAAGCCCCTGGCGATGAAGTTGTCAGAGGCGTCGGAGATCCTCGATGACAGGATAGACGAGTTTATGCACATCATCCAGGACTACCACAAGCTGGACTTTTCAGAATTCGGCAACGCGGCGAGCCAGAGCACGACAGAGGTGATTGCCGTGGGACGCATCGCCTCGGATGCGCCAGAGGGAAAGCTGAACGCGGCGTCACTGGTGCTAGAGATGTCGAGGCGGGTGGGCGGTGGTCTGCGAGCGCCCCTTAACATGCGCAACAAGGGGTACAGCTTCTTCCCCGGCCAGATTGTGGCCCTCAGGGGCATCAACACCTCGGGCAACGAGTTTGTCGTCGAGGATGTGCTTGAAGTGCCTCTTCTGCCCAACGCGGCTTCGACGCCGGCCGCACTGGCTGCGCACCGCGAGAAACTACGAGGCGACCCCGACGCCATGGACACCGACTCAGACCCGGCGCCCCTCAACATTCTCTACGCCTCCGGCCCGTACACGGCAGATGACAACCTCGACTTTGAGCCGCTGCACGCCCTCTGCGACCAAGCCGCCGACACGTACGCGGACGCACTGGTGCTGACGGGGCCGTTCATCGACAGTGAGCACCCTCTAATTGCGATAGGCGACTTTGACCTCCCCGAGGAAGCCGTCATCGAGCCGGACACGGCCACCATGTCGACCGTCTTCAAGTACATGTTCTCCCCGGCCCTGAACCGCCTCGTGTCCGCCAACCCCAGCATCACCATCCTCCTCGTCCCCTCGGTGCGCGACGTCATCGACAAGCACGTCTCGTGGCCGCAGGACTCGGTCCTGAAGAAGGAGCTCGGCCTCCCCAAGACGGCGAGGATCGTCACCAACCCGATGACGCTGTCCGTCAACGAGATGGTCATGGGCATCTCGTCGCAGGATATTCTCTGGCAGCTGCGACACGAGGAGCTCGTTGGCGGCCGCCCCGCCGATCCGTCGCTGTTGTCGAGGCTTAGCAGGTACCTGTTGGAGCAGAGGCACTTTTTCCCGCTCTTCCCGCCGACGGACCGCCAGAAGCTGCCCAAGACGGGCACCGAGGAGGGCATCCCGCCTGGTGCCATGCTGGATCTTAGTTATTTGAAGCTGGGCGAGATGGTCAACGTTCGCCCTGATGTGCTCGTGGCGCCCAGCTTCCTGCCCCCGTTTGCCAAGGTGAGTCTGTCGACTGTATACTGTGGGATCATACTGACAATGTTAGGTCGTCGAGAGCGTCCTCGTGATTAACCCGGGCTACCTATCAAAGAGACGCGGCGCCGGCACGTACGCCCGCCTGACGCTGTTCCCTCCCAAGGCCGACGCGGGCCAGTCCGCGGCCGTGGTGAGCCACGGCGTGTTTGAGCGCGCGAGGGTGGAGATTAAGAAGATTTGAAGCGCACCTGCATGACGTTTACGATGGCAAAGGGTTTTCTTTCAAGGCCTCGGAGTTTGGTTGGGAGGGTATATTCAGCATGCGCTCGTAGTGAGCCTGATCAGGATACGCTTCTTAATACATTTTGCAATGACGACCTGTGTCTGTTCTCTTTTGATGGATTTATCTAGAGTCCACGCGCCTCCGCTTGTCGCTGTCGTAGCGCTCTCTCTCGCGCGACGGGCTGCGCTTCCGCCTGTCCCTGTAGTCGTCCCGCGAGTCGCGGCGCGGCGACCTCGACCTCGACCGATCTCGACGGCGGTAGTCGTCCCAGTCTCTACGCCGGTCATCTCTATCGTCGCGATACCTATCACGATCACTTCTACCACCAGCTGAAGGCGCCTTGCGGTCACCCAAGGGAATGGCGTTGGCACCGTTAACCTCACGATCATTGTCCGGCCGGAATCGCTCGTCCACATCCCTATCGAAGCCGCCTCTCCTCCGGTCACCACCACCACCCCCGCCACGCCGGTCATCGAACTCGCCCCATCGTCCGGTATCCTCGCTCTTGAGATCCTTGTACTTTGTCCCGCCCTTGCGTCCCAACTTCGTCATGTCGCGCTTCTGCAGATATTCCGGCAGCGCGCTGCGATCCTTGACATCATCCGCAATACGCATGCCCATGAGATCGCGCTTATCGAGCCCGTACGCCTTCGCCTCCTCGCTGTAGAACGCGCCCTTGTGGTAGTACTTTTGTAGATACGACATCTTGCCCTTGGCGTCCTTTTCGTCCTGCTGCGCGGCAATCTTGTCCGCGTCCTCGGCGTCGCGCTCCTCTTGCGTGAGGTTCTGCCGCCTCTCGCGCTCGGCGTACTCTGCTTCCTGCTCGGCGATGCGGTCGCGCTCGCGCTTGACGCGCTTGAGCTCGCGGAGGCGCCAGGCTGCGAGTTCGGCCTCCGGGTCGAGGTCGTCTGTCGTGTCGACGTCGGAGCCCGAGGCCTCGTCGTCGTCCCAGTGCTTTTTGCCGGCGGCGCGGGCGGCGAGGTCCTTTGCGATTTGTTCTTCGACGAGGGCGTCGGCGGCGGCTTTGCGGCGTGCTTCTTCTTCTGCCTGGCGCGTCTCGTCGTCTTTGGTGGACGACTGTCCTTTGGCGGCTGCCGCTGCTGCGTTGCGCTGGTTCTTTGGGATGAATTTGGGTCGGATCATAAGGCGGCGGGGTGCTTCTTCTTCGCTGCTGCTTTCCTCATCGCTGGAGCTTTCTTCTTCGCCTTCATCGTCATCTTCTCCCTCTTCCTCTTCTTCTTCTGTGACGAAACCTTCTTCCGCAGCGAGCCGCTCCGCTTTCTCGCGCGCTATCCTCTGGTTCTCCTTGTCCTGCGCCTCGCGCCTCCGTTCGTCGAGGTTGACTTTGCTGACGTTGCTCGCGATCTTGGCTGCGCTCGATGCCTTTGGCGGCGGCTTGATCGCGCGGGCCTTGCTTGTGTCGTCGTTTGCCTTTTCTTCGTCATCGCTCGCGTCCGATTCTGATGAGTCCTCTTGGGGGACGGCCTTGCCGGGGAAGTAACGTCCCGGCTTGACCGGGTTCGCGGTCATGCGCTTGGGTGGCATCTTGTGGTTTGTGTGGATGGCGTGGATGGTGAATCGGATGACGTCCGGCAGAAAATCGAGGCTGCAAGGTACGGCACCTCAGGTCCCCTGGCGGAGGGACGGAACTGCACAAGTGTTTCCCCGCTGGGTGGCCCTGTAAGTTTAGCGTTTTTAGTGGACCTGGCGCTGTCGCAGAGCTTTTGGCCCCTCCAAGACGTCTAAATTTGTGACCGACTGAGGCAGAAGGGCGGCATGCACTTTGCGTCGAGGCTTTCGAAAACTTTCAAGGACCTGCATGCAGAATGGTCATCATTGGGTATCTATCATGAGTCTCATAGCCCGAGGACCACCTCTCTGGGCAACCTGAACCGAAACTGACAACGGACTACAAAATCTCCTCGTCGAAATCGTCGTTTGCTGGGGGAGGTGCCGGCACAGCAGCAGCTGGCGCAGACGCAGCGGCGACATCATCATCAGCGCCGTCCATCTCCTCGTCTGTCTCCCAGCCCTTACCAGCAGCCACCTCGACGGTCCTGCTCTTCGTCTGCCTCTGCTCCACCTCGGAATCCTCCTCGTCGGGGAACTTCTTGGCCGCAATGGCCCCCTTATTGATGTCCTCCCACTGCTTGCTCCGCGTCTGGACCCTCCGCGCCCTGTCCTTGCTCTTCTCCGTCTTGGTCGAGGTCCGCCCCATGATGGCCTCGGCGCGGTCCGCCGCCTTTTCTTTCCTCTCCTTGGCCTTGGCGCTCATCTGCGCCTTGCGGTTCTTGGTCTTCTTGGACACGCCAGAGTTGTGCTGGGCGTTGAGGACCGACGGCCGGAAGTCGGTCGCGGCGGCCGGGGCCTTGACTTCCTTGAGAGACTTGTCGGTGTCGATGTCGACGTCCGTCGCCCGCCTTGCGGCTCTCGAGTGGAGCGAGGGTTCTGCTTATGTTAGAAAGATGTCATAGTAAAAAGAGAGACTGCAGGCTCACGTCTGTTCTTCTTGGATGCGCCCATCTTTGCGATCGTATCGAGTTCTGTGGTGTAGACTGCACCGCCAGACTCGCCGCGGTGTGGGGGATATAAAATTCCTTATCGACCTGCACGCTATCTTATCACGATAAGCGGGGCGATCACAAGCCTTGGGGCCGCGCTCTGACCAATCCTTGTCGCAGCGTTGCCCCTGTGGAACCCCTGGTCCCGCTCAACTTTGGCATCTTTCCTTCTAGCACTGCCGCGACGCCTCAACACCATCCGTGCAGACATTCCAGAGCCTTACTCACTCACAACCACTTAATCAGCGAGCATCGCCACGACTGGACACGTTTCGAATCGTCTTCTCGACATGGCAGCGCGTGGCCTCTCCGATATAGCATTGCAGAAGCTCGCCTGAAGCTCCAACTCCCACAAGCACCCGTATACAATCCCGACTATGAACTCTCCCGCATTCAAGCACTACGGCGGACCCGACTACCACCGACGACTTCACGCCGACGAGACCATTTGGACGAGGCTGACGGAGCCGAGCGTCGTCGTGTCCCTCTTTGCCCTCGTCCTCACAGCGCTCGTCTCTGTTTTCGGCGCTTCCCTTCCGACCACCCTACTCTCGCACGCCTCTCGGACCCTCTGGGACGTAATCGTCTGGCTTATCCCCCACGACGCCTTGACCCTTCTGGAAGCCTGGCTGCATCCGCCGCTCGTTCCGCGGCCGATGCTCCAGAACCAAGCCAGAACACATGCGGCCAAGAGTGCGCTTCTGAAAAAGATTCTCGGCATGGACAGACAGGGAGGCATCATGGGGACGGTCTCGCAAGCCGGCATTCGAGGGCTGTCGTCCGTCTCCGGGGCCATGATGAGCCTTAAGGGCTCCAGCAACTACCCGCCAGGCCTGGGGAACCTCGACAACTCGTGCTACCAGAACAGCATCCTCCAAGGGCTCGCCTCACTCAAGCCGTTTCCAAAGTACCTGGCCGACCCTGTCCAGGACCCCGAGATCGACCGCCGCAAAGTCGAGGCCGTCGACACGCTGCGGAACCTGATTGAGGACCTCAACAGCGCTAGCAACTACGGCAAGACGTTATGGACGCCAGGCTCCCTCAAGAACATGAGCACGTGGCAGCAGCAGGATGCGCAGGAATACTTTTCAAAGCTGCTCGACGAGGTGGACAGGGAGATTGCAAAGGTGGCTAAGGCGACCATCAAGTCGTCGGGCTTCGAGTCGGACTGCGCCAGCGACGACACTGCCACGAGCCAGCACAGCGACGACAGCGGCTACCAGAGTCTGTCAACAGCCTCCAAGATTAGCGCGGCTTCCAAGTCTCTGCGGAACCCCCTTGAGGGGCTCATTGCTCAGCGGGTGGCCTGCGTCGAGTGTGGACACTCTGACGGCCTTTCCATGATCCCCTTCAACTGCCTCACGCTCAGTTTGAATGTGGGCGGCAACGACCACGATCTGTACGAGCTTCTAGACGCGTACGCCCATATTGAGTCGATCGAGGGCGTCGAGTGTGGAAAGTGCACGCTTCTGAAAGCCAAGAGGCTGCTGACCCTCCTCGTCGAGAGAGCAGAAGCGTCGTACACTGACGAGCAGAAGCTCAAGGAGCCAAAGTCGCGGCTGTCGGCTGTGGAGGAGGCGCTGGAAGAGGACGATTTCGAGGACAAGACGCTCACGGAAAAGTGCAAGTTCCCTTCAAATTTCAAGGTCTCATCAACAAAGACGAAGCAGGCCGTCATTGCGCGGCCACCGCAGAGTCTCGCCGTCCACATGAACAGGTCCGTGTTTGACGAGAACACTGGCATGATGTACAAGAACTCGTCGGGGATCCGGTTCCCTCTGACGTTGGACTTGGGTCCGTGGTGTTTGGGTAGTGCCAGCAAGACGGGTTCCGCTGATGGCTTGGAGGAAGAGGAGCAGTGGCTGTTGGATCCGCGGTCCTCAATGATTGCGGGCGACAAGCGCAAGTCGTTCATTACTGGGCCGATATACGAGCTGCGGGCCGTCGTCACGCACTATGGTCGTCACGAAAATGGGCACTACGTCTGCTACCGCAAGTTCCCCCGACACTCGCCGCCGAGTGATGGCGAGGAGGTTGTCTCGCCCAAGTCGGAGACTATGGAGGACGATGCGGAGATGGACTGGTGGCGTCTCAGCGACGACACTCTCCGCAAGGTTGACGAAGAGGAGCTGCTGGCGCAAGGTAACGTCTTTATGCTATTCTACGATTGTGTCGACCCAAACATTATCCCCTCGTCCGAGATTCCAGCTGTAGAGACTGTTCAGGTTGCAGACGCCATGGACGCAGCGGACGAGGAGACGCCAAAGGTCGAGAAGCCCGCCTTTACCTGCACGGTGAAGGAGGTATCGGCAGACGAAGATGATGACGAGTTGCCGGTGGCCGGCACTATGGTGGCGGTCGCCGAGGGAGATGTCTCGCAGGCGCGGTCTGTGCCGCTGCCAGGGGATGGAGACGACGGGTTGGGAGAGAATCAGACTGAGCGAGGACCGCAGATGATTGCCGTCTGAGTGCTGGGTTCTGTATAATGAAGAGGAGAACATGGTTGCTTTGGTCGTTTTATAGCATAGCGATAGGCGTTGGGATTCCGCGGTAATAGCATGCGCTCGCGGCGCGGATACTGAGCTGGGGGATGCTCTGGCTACTAGGGTCACGGGATCGGGTAATGGCATAGTTAATTCACTGCATATCTGGACGTGAGGGACGCGTCATGATGCTGAAGCATGTGTGATGAACGTAGGCGTCTTTTAAGCAGAGGGAACCTTTCGCAAACCACCCTCCTCCATCTCCTCGGGCCAAAAGTCGTTCTCCGCCAGGAGAACCTCTCTCCACATGTGCCGAGCCTGATCGATCTCGTCCCTGACGGCCTCCTCGCCGTGCAGTCGGACCGCTTCGTCGACGCCGTCGTCGATGATGGCGGCGAGCTCGTCTACGAAGGCCCTGAAGGCGGGGCTGCTCCAGTTGGGGATAAATTCTGTTCGCAGGGCGCCGCCGTCCGAGTCCGAGGCCGTGTCTCCTCCAGAGGTGCCAGAGGCAGATGTAGCAGAGACAGACGAAGGAAGCATGTCCCTCGCGCCGGACCAGGCTTCGAGGTAGCACTTCTCCGTCGCCCAGAAGAGGACGGCGGGGGCGAGCCAGGGGAGAAGGACACCGTGAGGAGGTGCGGTGGCGATGGATGTGAAGAGGCGTTCGAAGGCGAGGAGGCCTGCGTTCTTGTCTTCGTCCTTTACCCGCCGGTGGGCACTGCTGCCTCTCTCGGAAGTGGGCTCGGCGGGCAAGTTGACGTCGATACCGAAGCGGGCGGCGACGTCGATGAAGAATCTCTCCTCGCGGCGGACGTTGACGAGCGCGTCGATGAGCCAGTTGAGGAGTCGTTCTGTCACGGTTGCCGTCGCTCTGTCTGCCGCTTTGTCCGTCACTGTGGGAGAGCCAGTATCGTGACCAGAGACATCGTGACGGGAAGAAGAGTCGACGACGTCAGGGAGGTCCAGCAGCGCGAGGAACCGGCCTGCGCCCTTGATGTACGCGTGGATGTAGAGCCTGTCGTTTGCGAGCCAGCGGCCGAGGGTTGGTTTGGGCACTTTGCCGCGCGCGGTGGCGGCGAGGAAGGTTGCTGTTGTGGAGGTCTGGAAGAGGGTTTTGTGGCTGGTTAGGAGGGTGGATGTGAAGTTCATTTTGAGGGACTGGTCTTGAGACCTAAGGTGTAAAGCTTGGTTGGGTCGCTTCTGTCTCTGGATGTCGTTAAGGAAAGGTGCTTCTTTCAAAGCGCGAATTCAATGACACGCGATCTGCGAGAGATGGGCGGTCGTCGGGTTGGATCTCCATAGTTTAGTAAGCTTGGCTGCAGGTTGCGAACCTTGTGATAGGTCAATGGATCGCGATGATGCTTCTAGTCGGTAGACGCTACTTTGTCATGCGGGTTCAGAGACAGGAGGCACGTCGTTCAGATCATGTATTCTAAAGCTGTGCCTGTGATGCATGCTGCTCATGATATACAATATTACAACACCGGGCGGCCTAGACCCAAAGACCACCCAAAACCCGCGCGTTCAAAAAACCAAACATCAACCCCGCCACGAATCCATGATTTTCTGATCCCAGTGTTCTCTTTGTACACGACGCGCTATCCCAAAACTCCAGGCTTTGATGATGGAAAAAAGGAGAAAAGAAGCGTCAACGCATCTAGGCGCTGACGGCGCCGACCTTGGCAAACCAGTCCGCCGGCGCCGCAGCACCCTTGTAGGCGAAGCCCATGACGACCATGAGGGTGATGAGGGTGAGCAGGCCGAAGAAGATGGCGCGGCGGAGGAGGGGCGAGAGGCGGCCCTCGTCGAGGGCGTGGGAGTTCCAGACGCCGCGGGACCAGGTGATGGCGCCGGCGCTCGAGGCCTTGAGCTGGTCCCAGCCGGTGGAGTAGATGACGAGGCCGAAGAGGGCGACGGCGTAGCCGATGAACTGGAGGGCCGTGATGCTGGTGTGCCAGATGAGGACGGAGACGACGATGAGGAGGATGTTCTTGAGGATGCCGGTGAGGGTCATGACGAGGCCCGACGTCTTGCCGATCTGGTTTCTGTCAGTAGGGGTCGGTAGAGTACAGAGACGGCACTTACGAGGAAGACGCTGGAGATGTTGAGGGCAAAGGCGACGCTGGCGTTGAGGAGCAGCATGGTGAAGCCGACCTTGTTAAAGTCCTCGACGTTGAACTTGCTAAACTCGCTGAAGTAGGCGACGAAGAAGTTCATGACGGCGCAGACGGGGGCGTAGTAGTAGAGGCTGACGAGGGGGTCCATCTTCTGGGCGTTCTCGTCGCCCTTGAGCAGGACCTGGATCATGACGAGGCGGATGGCCTCGAAGATGATGCCGCCCATCTGGAAGATGAAGCCGATCCAGGAGAACTCTATCTCGCCAAAGGAGGCGAGGCCGACGCCGCCGACGATGAGGAGGATGTTGTAGAAGGTCTTCATGGAGGGGTCGGCGACGCCCCAGATCCAGCTGGTGAAGAGGACGGCGACGGGGGCGGCGGCCTTGAGCATCTGGATGAAGGAGACGGAGAGGTAGAGGTAGACGAGGTTGGAGCAGACGAGGGAGCCCGAGTAGAGGACGCCGATGGGCATGATGGCGCGCAGGTAGACGCGGCCCGTCATCTTGACCTTGTGGCGGCCATCGAGGAGGGAGGTGAAGCGCGCCAGCACCTGGGTTGCCAGGGTGGAGAAGACGAGGTGCCAGAAGGTGAGGATCACGGCTGGGGCATGTTAGTGGGGAGCAGTGAGGGTTTGGGCTGGTGAGACGTACGGTATTCTGTGGGTGGTTAGTGACGGTCAACATAATGGGGTAGAAGGTGCTTACTGAAGCCGGCCGTGTCAAGCAGCCACTTGTTGAAGAGGATGGTCAAGTTGGAGAAGAAGATCCAGCTCCTGTGGGAGTGTTAGTGAGGCCCGGCGAGGCTGAGGATGGGGATACGCACGCGATGAAGAAGGCTGGGTGAAGAGCCTTGGAGCCCACGGCCTTCTCGGTGGTTGGCAGCTCGCTCATGGTTGCGCGGTGATGGTGTTGTGACAGGGGTGACGAGCAACAAAGTCAAGAAGCCAAGCGACGGATGATCGGAGGGTACGGCGACGGAGACGGCGGCGGACGACGGGACTGGAGTCGGTGGTGGGCCGGGTTCGTCGGGGGGAAGGAAAGGATGGGGATTATTGCAAGTTGCGTCAGACGGAAGGCATGAGAGATGCAGTGCAGCGACGCGACAGAACAGCGACAAGGAAAGACGGGAGAAGAAAAGATGGAGGAGAGGAGGATGCAAAATGCGAACCACCATGCAGGTCAACAAGGTGACAAAAAGGCGAGAGCGAGAGTGGCACGGAGAGAAACGAAGGAAGAGAAGTGAAGACTGCAAGGTGTGTGGCGGCAGGCGGATGTTTGAAGCGCTGCGCCGTTTGCTGGACTGGTGCCTGGTACTCCGTACCTCGAGGTCCTTTGGTGTCAATGAGCCCCCTTCCGCAGCGGGTTTTCTCGTATTTTCTGCTGGCTGCAATGTACCTGGCGATGGTACGAAATAGGACGGCACCTTATTGGACTGGGCTGACCACTGGTCGTAGCTGGGCCTGAAGAAGGCTGGCGGAGAAGGGGGGGGCTTTGGGGAGGAGGCGCTAAAGTCGGGCGGCCGGCACGTGGAGGGAGCGACCCCTGTCTTTTGTCTTTAGTTGGTTGCCGGTTGACTGGTTGGATGGGGTGTTGGAGTTGCGAGAGTTGACGTTGGTTGCAGTCTGGGAGTTTGGAGATGTTGGGTGCGGTCTGGTTTCTGGCAGTCGCAGAGGAGATGAAGCTGTAGATGCCACAGTTACGGCCGGTTCACTGACGAGTTGCTAACGAGTTGCTAATTGTCCAGAGAGATGTTGTGTCCGGATTGTACTTCGCATAGGTAGACCGCAGAGACGACTCAAAAGAGCAACGTGTCGCGCAATGGAATTTGCAAATGAACCTTGTGGCAGGCAATTTGCCTCGAGGCTTTCAGGGGACCAAGGGAGAGTGGAGGGTGTTCGGATGAGGAAAGGAGAGTTGGACAGCGGGAGTTGTGGTGATGATCAGAAGGGGGAAGAAGTCAAGGAGCGAAAGCTTGAGATGAGTGCCGGCGGACTTGGGACTTGGGCAAGGCGAGACAAAGGCACAATGCAAGACACAACGGCGAGCCTAGGGGGGTCGTGTAACGCGAGGGAAGGGGAAACACCTCTAGTCTCTGTTATGTGGTCTTTACTCTGTCCGGTGCGTTCCTATGTAGGCAATGATCAAGGGGAAAGTTTGTTGGCTCGGCCCCGCGATGCAGCGGATTGACGAGTTGGTGCTGGGGCGCTGCCTGTGCCGTTGGCCGTCTATTGCTGCTCGCAGCCTGTCATGTTTTAATTAAGCTCAGAGGCCAGGGGAAGCATAAAACTTGGCTCCATCTCCTGCATTGGCGCCATGCCATGGTGCATCCAGAGGTACATGACACAAGTACATGCACCTTAGGTCAGCATCTTAGATAAGCATCTTTGATAAGCAACACCAGCAACACCAAGCGAGGTTGCACAAAACGGCACACAATGTCTTGTCCACTTTCTGCATAACCGATTCGTGTAACCAAGGGATCGCTGGAAAAGCCAAAGGCGCCCGCCAACTTCTCTAGTGGCCTCATCTCCCCCACGCTCCCTTGCATCACCCACGGCTTCTCGCCCATCAACACCATCATCAACCACGATGTGATGCTTCATCGCTCCGTATCCGCATTCCAACACCAACGGAATGCGGGAGAGAGCTCAACTCCCTTGGCTGCCACCACAATTCGACCCGGTTCTCGGATCCAAGACAGAACACCCAACGCGTGCTGTGTAACTCCAGGGAAACCAAAGGGAAACCCAATGCCGACGACGCTTTCGATTTCTTTGCACTATGGTGCTCCGTTCAGCCCATCTTCTCTTTGTCAGACCGGCCTTGGTCGCAATATCCTTCTGGGCATGTGGGCTGTCGTCGCGTGGTACTTGTCCACCGTGCTGGAGACCATTCACGAGTAGATGGGCGATTAGTGAGGCCCATCATCAGACTAGCGGAACGTCAATCAAGACATCTCGGGCCACCGCCGAAATGTGTTCAGAACACAACACCAAATCATCACAAAGCGCACCCGCCATCCTGCAAGCCCAGTCTACCACCCTGGCCTGCGACTCGCCGCCTCTCTTTCTTTCGCTCTCCAGCTGCAAGCCCACATCTGCTCACGGCGAGCTTCCCAAAGACCTGAAGACCTCGGACAGGGGTACTTCGCTCCCCGAGGATCCCATACCGTCCCGCTTGCAACCACAGGGCTTGGTCCATGGACCACAGGCAATGGTCCACAAACCATACCCAGACGACTGGAAGGCTAGGCGTGCTAGGGCAGATCAAGGGATCTTTGACAAGTGTCGACTGTCGTTATCTTTGCGCCAAGCTGGCATGGCCGCCCCCTGCATCGGCTTTGGATGAGGACATTCGCACTGCAGCGGCGCGTCCTCCCTGCCGGAAGTATGCGTGCGAATAGCATCTGCGTGCCAGTGCCGCCCAAGATGCTCATCCCAACACCCATCCAGGGTCTGATGCACGTCAACCTCCCTTTAGCCGTCCGCTCATCCCGTCTACATATGGATACTGTCGTGATAGTCTCGTGCCATCGCGGGTCTACACGTTCCTGCGGCTGTCTGTTGGGCTGCCTGTTGGCCCATCTTGGCGTCAATCGCGGCATCGCCTTGTCCGCCACAGGCACTGCGTTCGGTGATTGCATTCCCGCTATCACGTTCTCGAATGGCATGGCCCCTAGGGCCCAAAGGGTTCCAACACAGCAAATAACGCCCACCCCTGTCCAGACTATCAAAGGGCGGACCTCAGCTCGGCGGGCTTAGAAATGTACAAGCATGACGGACGACGCCTTTTAGCGGAGGCGAGACACTTATAGGATTGTCCTCTGAAATGTTCGAGACCGACGACTCAGACTGAACTTTGAGAGAGCTCAGGCCAACCGCCAGCCGACTTTGTGTCCCTCGCAGAGTTCAACAAGTTCAGCTTGTACCCCTCACCTCGCCCATTTTCTATTTCATTGCTCGCAAGATTTGGCCGATAGTTTGCCGTTCCCCATCTTCTCTTCTCTGTGGTCTTGCTCATCCTGCAGCTCAAGGTTTGAGCGGTTTCTCTCGGGGCATCCTTTCCTTCATCTTCTTCCGGTCACTTGTGCTTATACCCAGCAAAATGATGAACAAACCAACATCAAGTCACCAGATCAAGTATCTGGCCGTGGTTGCGTCCCTCGTTTTCATCTGGCTCGTCTGGCGTCTCGATCTTCACTCAGAGGTGGCCGAGCATGCCCGCAAGATCACACATCCCAACAGCACGCCCTACGATGGCCTCGCCAAAGCAGGCAACAGCGAGGTCCTCCCTTCCGCAAAGGCCGTCGAGTACTGTGACCACTTCCGCCTGAAGCCGGCCAACACGGAGCTGGTCCGCAAGCGCAAGGTGTACGACCTGCTCCTCATCAACACCGAAGTCGAGATGCTCGAGGTTCGCCTCGGCCAGATGGCTCCCTACGTCGACTACTTTGTCATTCTCGAGTCGGCCCTGACCTTCACCGACAACCAGAAGCCGCTGTACATCAAGGAGAACTGGGACCTCTTCAAGCCGTGGCACCACAAGATGATTCTCCGCGAGATGGACCTCGAGGCCCTTAAGGAGAGCAGCACCTGGGACCGCGAGGCCAAGAGCCGTAACGCCATGTATGAGCAGGTCATCCCCACGCTCGAGGGCGAGCAGCAGGCTTCCATTGACGATATTCTCATCGTCTCCGACGTGGACGAGATCCCCAAGCCAGAGGTCCTCCGCGCCCTGCGCAACTGCGAGATCCCGCCCCGCGTCTCCATCCACTCCAAGATTTATTACTACTCCTACCAGTGGCTCTCCCGCAACGACTGGAACCACCCCCAGGCCACCGTCTACCGCGGCGTCGACACCGTCCTCCCTCACGACCTCCGCCACAACGCAAATGACCACCACTTCAACCAGGGCGGCTGGCACTGCAGCTACTGCTTCAGCACCGTCGAGGAGATGGCCCAGAAGATCAACTCCTTCTCCCACGCCGAGCTCAACAAGCCCGAGTTCAAGGACCCCGACTGGATCGTTTCCGTGGCCCGCCGCGGTCACGACATGTAAGTGGTGTCTCTGACTTTTGACGACTCTGACTAACACTACACAGCTTCGGCCGAGGCGAGTCCAACTTTGACCGCATCGAGGAGAACCACGACGTGCCAGACTACGTCAAGAAGAACTCGGACAAGTTCAAGTACCTGCTGGACCGCGATCCGCTCAATGCCAACTTTAGGGACTACACCCCCAAGGCCACCTCAACGCCCGCGGCTTAGACGCTGTGTGGGTGGGCAGGACTCGGACTACAGGCGTTTGGGGCGTTGGATACCTGTGTTCCCGCGGGAGGGACCTACAGAGACATTATTTTTTTCTTTCCGTCTTTTCTTCTTTTGTACTATTAATTTCGCGGCACTCCAATCTATTCGGCCGCCCATCTTCATCAAACTATGAAGCTGTCAAACACCTGCCTTAAGGATGTAGTATGCGTGGCGCCATCTTCGGGTTAGCCCCTCTAGGCGGCATGCCAAGGGCCCCAAGTGAGAACAGTGAAGCTGCGCGCGCACAGCGGACTTGCATAGCAAAATTACGTGTCCGCCGGCAACTTTGCGTGAAGAAACCGGAGCACTCCGTAGAACAAAGTTCAGACGGGGACGTTTGCGACTTGCACGAAGCCTGCACGAAGCCAGATTAAAGTTTCCCCAGACGGAACCGCCGGGACCTTTTTTCTGAGACGTGGTTTTGGGGCTGGTTGGCTGGCTTGTCAAATGGTTGCCCAAACACTATACCGTACAGATCTGTGGCAATCTGAACTGAGCCGCCCACCGGCACACACTATTAGCCGTCAAACGGGGGCCAACGGTGTAATGACAGCAAGGCTTGACCCTGGACGTTGTTCATTGTGATGCGTGGCTGCGTGAGTCTATTCAGGGAAGAGGGTTGCTTGCTATAGTGCGTTTGGGAAAACCTTATTGTGATGTGTGCGAGGGTTTTCGGTGCCAGGCTGGGATCGGGAATGATTACTACGCCGGACGGATTTGGAAGCCGGGTTCGCCTTATCAGGGTTTTGCTATTCTCTATCTTGGGGTGTAGAGTAGCAGCGTGGCATAGAAGGAGGCCATAATAAGCTGGAGAGAGCTATAAACCTACGATATTCGAAACTGCCGCGGATGAAGGCGTTTGGCACGTCTGGGAACGGGTACCCCATCACCCCGTGTAGGTTTCCCGACGGGGTGTATGGGAAACGGGGGGCCAATTTGCGGTGAGAAAGTTTGAAGCGCTACGCCTCACAGCGGCATGGAAAGAGTGTGTAATCGTAGACAACGGGGCTTTCGCGAAAGCGAAAAAGTTCTGCCCGAATCTTCGCTGCGGGCAGGTGAGCAGATTTGACAGACTGTGCGTAAGAATCGTTGAGTCATGCTAGCTGGCTCGCCGTCGTCCGAACGCCTCGGTTTTTCTGTTCAACTGGAATCTGGCAATTTTTGGGAATTTGAAAAGATTTCAAAGGGGATGGTTGAGCTCGCGGCTGTCCGAGAAACTGTAGCCTGGAAGGGGAGGGAAAAAGACGGCATTCGTGGCCCATCATCTCTGCCTTCGAACCCAGGTCCTGTGGAAGCGTTGGCGTTGGCGGCGCAAGCATAGGCAGGATGGTGCAGGGTTCCAGGTCCCTCGGATGCACCGCCCGTCGCGTTTCCATTCCCCATGAGTCCATGACAGCTACACGCCGCGTGGGCGGTTTGGAAATTGGGATCCCTGTTGTTCTGGGTTTCCGGTCGCTTGTCCGGACCGAAGCCGCTTTTGTGGGGTTCCGTTCGGCGCCGTGTTTCCACGGAGAGTTGTGGATAGGCGGCGGTCGCATCAGATACAGAAGGCTGCCGCATGTCCACCACAGCTGACGACATCCTTCCACAGGAAAGGCGAGCTTCACTTTGGGGCGCACTTCTCGCGAGCTGTCACTGCGATTGATGCTACTGATGCTATCGACGCTTTCGCCCCAACCGTATGCCATAGTGAGCCATGTGATGATATTCCATAACTCCTATCCACGTGAGACGACCCGATGCCGTACCCTCCCTATTTTTCACAGTCCCATCCCATTACCCTCCTTGGCGAAACGAACCATCCCCGCCGGGCGCAGAGGCAACTAGCGACTCCTACTCCTTCGGCGGCTCCGGCTCCGGTCTCGATCCCGTCTGTCCCTCCGCGACGAGACGCTGCGGTCTCTCCGGCTGCGGCGGTCACGGTCGCGATCACGATCACGGTCCCTATCCCTATCCCGATCCCGATCCCTCGACCTGGCCCTCTCCCGGTCCCGTCGATCTCTAGAGCGATCCCTCGACCGATCCCTATCGCGGTCTCTGTCTCTCCGGTCTCGATCCCTGTCCCTATCACGATCGCGATCCCTGTCCCTGACGCGGTCTCTGTCCTTGTCCCGCTCGCGATCTTTGCTGCGCGAGCGACTCCGACGCCGCTCGTCATCCCGTGCCAGGTCGTGAGGCCGCTCTCGGTCTCGGCCGGGGGGCACGTACCGATCGATCTCATCCAGGTCGCGCCTGCGTTTCGCCTCAGGTGAGCGATCCCCCGTGCTTCTCTTATCGTCGATCCCGGGAACCGGCATGCCCTTCTCTCGGGCCTCGCGCTGCGCCGCAAGATACGCCTTGGCTTCCTTTTCGCGCTTGCGGACCTCGACCATCTTGGTGGCCTCCTTTTCGTCCTTGTCGCGTTCCAGCCGGGGAGTAGATCGCACCACGGGAGAAAGGTGTCTCGAGCGAGACCGACTCTTGCGATCGCGCTCAGAAGGTTTTCGGTCAGAAGAGCGATCCCGGCGAGGGCGAGAGCGGCTGCGGTCACGTCGGATCGACTCGCGCCGGTCAGGCCGTGGAGACCTGCTTCGGCGGGTCCTAGAGCGGGACCGCGACTTGTCTCGGCGGTCGGCCCTCACACGAGAACGGCTGCGATCCCTGCGATCGTTGCGAGCCCGCGACCGACTTCTCTCGCGGCGGCGTGAGCGACTACGATCTCGTCTGTCGCGAACGCGGTCTCTCCGGTCGCGAGACCTAGACCGACTCCTATCACGGCGGTCGTGGCGTGTGCGAGATCTGCTTCGATCACGGCGCGTCTTGGATCGAGTACGCGAGGGGGTCCTCTCCCGCCTTTCGGGTCGACGAGACCTGCTGCGATCGCGTCGGGTTCTTGACCGCGACCTGTCACGTCTGTCGCGGGATCGATCACGCGGTCGAGGAGACCTAGACCGACGATCACGTCTGTGGCGGTCGTCATCATCTCGCGTGCGTCGTCTATCGTCATCGCCTTCCTTGTCCTTCTCGCGGTCCTTGGCAGTCGCCTGTGACCGACTGCGGCTTCTAGCCTTGACAGCTGGTGCATCGGCTTTAGGTGTCGCAGCGACGCTGGCATCTCGTGCTTCCTTCTTGACTTCTACCGCCTTCTTCGGCTCGGCGGCCTTTTGCGAGTCTCGCGAGGAGGCAACCTTCTTAAAGGGCATGATGGCAGACGCGGGAGCCAGCTTCCTAGGAGGTGGTGCCAGCGCTTCGTCAATCTCCAGTTCGGGTTGCTTTGCCGTGTTGCGCTTGCTCTCTCGGAGGAGGTCCGCAAGGGCTTCCTGTTCGAGTCTCTCGAGCTGCTCCTGGGAAAGCTTCTGCTTGGCTTCCTCGGTCTCTTCGTGCCGCTCCTTGCGCTTGCGATCTCGCTCTTCCCGACGCTCACGGTCGCGCTCGTCGCGGTCCCGATCACGGTCTCTGTCGCGATCTCTATCTCTGCGGCGGCTACGGCTGCGGCTCCGGCTTCGGTCGCGGTCACGCTCTCTTTCCCGGCTCCGCTCCTTGTCTCGTTGGCGGCGGCGCTCTTCTCTTTCGGCCTCGCGTTCTGCTTGAAGCTTCTCTCTGGCAGCCCGTCTGGCGTCTCGTTCGGCTTTGCGTTTCTCCTCGGCCTTTTCTCGTTCCTTTTCGACCTTTTTACGCTCTTCCCGTGCAATCTTGCGTTTCTCTTCTTCGATGGCAGCCTCCTTTTGTCTCAGTTCCTCCCGGACTCTTTCGCGCTCAGCTTGTTTCGCCAACGTCTCTGCGTGGTAGTCTTCGTCTGTCTTGGCTCCCCGCTCTTGCTCTGCCGCAGCTTCGTCTTCGCCAATGTCGGCGCGGCGCAGCTGTCGCATGCGTTCCTCGATGGATGCCCTGTCGATAAGTTGCGTGATGACCTGCTCTGCCTTTTGATACACGCCAGAGCGCTCGAGAGCGCCGTCAATCAGAGCGGCAGCTTTGCCTCGGTCGAGGGTAAGGAGCTGGCCGGGGTTGCGTTCGACTTCCTGTTCGGCCACCTCGAGGATGGCTTTGGTGACTTGGGCCTCGTAATCCTGCGCGGGTCAGTCGTTCGTCACGCAAGTACATGCCAGAAGAGACTCACGCTCGCTGCAAACTTGTCCCAGACCTCCTTGCGAATGGCGTCGTATCCGCCCTTCTTCTTGAAGCTGTGGGCCAGGGATTCGATGGCGGCTCGGGTCGCAGATGGTAGGGGGAGGTCGGACGCCTTGAACTTCTTGGAGGCAGGAGGGGAATCGGTCGAAGTCGCCGCCGCCGGATCGATGGATGAGGCAGCAGCCATGGCGGCTGGGAGTGCAGAAGCCATCTCACAGTTGCGCCTGGCGTTTGTCGCAATCGGTTCGTCGCATGCGTTTGTCGAGCCGGTGCAATCAAGCGCTCGGCGAGGGACAATCAATTGGGTATCGTCGCCAGTGCCCAATTGCCATCGAACGGGCGAAGCTGGGCCGAAAAAAAATGGTGGTGATGATCAAGAAAGATTCGTGGATCCTGATCCGTGGGACGCGTTTAGAAAGTCGATTTCTCAGAGCAGGTGCAGTCGAGGTGCATTGGTTCAGTGGAGGTCACAGGGGACGAAAGTTTAGTGGAACTGTCATCCCTGTCTCGGACAGCTGGTCCTAGCGTTGTGTTCAGCAAGGTCGCCAGATTGACGAGGCTCTGCTTGGATGGGCTGGCGATGAAGTCGACCAGAGAGTTGAATCTCTGATGACTGCGCAAGCGGGATGACTTGAAGTCGGGAAATAAAGCAATGGAATGCTGAGAACGGTGTATCACTGGCGAAGGGGTAGAAACTGGTAGCATTTAGAGAGTCATTCTCGGGCACGATCGTTTGGGTTTCTGGGCTCGAATTGTCGCATCGACAGGCCAAAAGTGCGAGAGACATCGTGTGGCGTTCCATCGACGGTTCCATGATCGAGGATCTCTCCCAGACGATGATAAAATGCTCC